TGTTCCCCATGGTCCCTGTGTGTGTTGTCAAGTAGTCACCGCCGCTCCAAGCTGGCTCGCTGAATGCTGTTTGGCAAACTCCATTTATTCCAAAATCGAATGTTACCCCTCCCTTTTAGATTGTAAGCCCTCAGGGGCAGGGCCCTCCTACCATCTTGTCTTGAATTGTGATTGTAATGTCTTCCTTATATTGTAAAGCGCTGCGCAAACAGTTGGCGCTCTATAAATCCTGTATAATAATAAGGAAAAAGGACATTTGTAACATTCATTCATGTCTTTGATTACATTATCGAATGTTCTGCTAATATGAACATCTACCAGTGTGTGGACGGCTTTATTCTTAAAAACCTCCAACTGTATACAGACATAAAAGTTCTCATGAGTGTAAATGATTATTCCTTTAAAAAAAAAATCAAATAAATAGAATTTGTAGTTGATTTCATATCACAATTGATAACATGGCCCAAAACCACGAGGAACACAAAATACAAAGCCTGCACCTCCTGAACGGTCACATGTAGCGTGGGGGAGCAGTCTTGCCATGCTCCGTTGTACTAACTCGGCTCATTTCTCTGCACTCATATAAGAATAAAACAAAATAAACCTTTATATAGATGGAGAATTATGTGACGGGAGTGTGTGATAATGGGGGAAACGACACGGTAGAAAGTGTCCCTGAGGGAAACTTAATTGAAATCCTTCCCATATAATACAAACTCTGTAACCGCGAGTCACAAACATTTCTACAAGAATGAGAAATACGGAAATTCTTCAATTACAGAAATTCCGGTGAAGGTGTAAACATCGCATGAAAACAAATACTAAAAAATATCTGCGCACTATCACTAAGCGGACGGTACAGGGGCGCTTGGTAGTTGGTTCTGATCTTTGCCTCCAACATGGAAGGTTCGATATAAAGAGCAATATTAGGGTCAGAGCGGCCAATTATAAGTCTTCTCTCCGGGAGAGTCATACTGTGAGTGGACCACCAACACTACATGACCACTATATAGTCTTCTACACCAGTGTCCATGTGAATCCAGCCTGAAAGGGTTCCTCTGGACAAAACATATTTGTCTAGCTGTGGATAGAGTGTGGAGGATCAGGTCATGTTTTTATTGCTATCTGAGGCTGAGAGAGAGATACACAGAGAGAGAGAGAGACAGACAGAGCGAGTAAGAGAGAGAGAGAGAGAGGATTCTGTCATGTTTTTATTGCTATCCGAGGCTGAGCGAGAGATACAGAGCGAGAGATACAGAGAGAGAGACAGAGGGAGAGAGAGACAGAAGGAGAGAGAGAGACACAGAGGGAGAGAGAGACACACAGAGGGAGAGAGATACAGAGAGAGAGAGAGATACAGAGAGAGAGAGAGATACAGAGAGAGAGAGAGATACAGAGAGAGAGAGAGATACAGAGAGAGAGGGAGAGAGATACAGAGAGAGATACAGAAAGTACAGAGAGAGCGCACAGCCTTCCAGAATGGTGAGGTCACGGTGATGTCATGGATGAACATATTCTGCACAAGATTTCCCCTCACTGCCATGGTGACATTGGTTTGCCCAGAGAGGAAGTGAGGGAGAATCTCCAACACAGACATCTACTAGAAGACACTGCCAAGAAACAAGCTAAATAAAGTTGGGGAACGGCTCATGTCTCTGGCACCTGGTATGGTGCGTTGCCTTTACCTGACCATCTTGAGAACATCCAAAAAATACACAAAAATGAACAAGTCAGCACGTCAAGCGTTGAGTCGTGTTCCATATTCGTTAATATTCAGGCGTGAAATCTAAACATCTGGGAGGTGACTGCAGACAGGTGTTTGAAGGAGAATTTCTGCAGCACAAGCCTGACGTACAATTCCTGACAGCACCTTCACAGGACGCAGCAGAATTTCACATGACAAACAACGAGGTGACAGAAAGCGACGGCGGGACTTGATAAGGTTTCTAATAAAACGTCCCAGTTTCGAATCCTTGTAATTAACAGAAGGAGAAGCAGAAGCGGCTCTGCTCGAGCATTCAGCGTTTTCAGGAAATAATGCAGAATGTCGCCTGGAGGGGTGTCAGTAATTCTCACCCGGCACCATTTCCTTCTATTCATCCTCTGGAACCGAGCGAGAGAGCCCAACCAACAATGACAAATACACTGGAGGGCAGGGCAAAATCAGTGTTATTCCTAGAAATTATCCCCAGCACTAATGACCGGAACGCAGTGTGACAAACACGCTATAATGGAGACGTACCGAACAGTGTCATTTCCTAATACTGAAATGTCATGTTCATGGCAAATTTGCAACGCAAGGTGCCATGAAATAAGTGAAAGTTAGCGATGAACGGTTGTTGTAAGAAAGATTACGTAATCAGAGTCCTATTATTGCTGCAAAAGAAAAGCAAACCGAGAGATCAGAACTGTCACTAAACGAAGCTTCGTGGACACCTGACCACCATTACTGAGGTCACATGTGTGTCTACCCCTCCAAATGATTGAGTTCAGGTGTCTCCAGGAAAGGGGACTGTATAACTACATCATACAAAGACATTTTAGATAACTGTGTGCTTCCAACCTTATAGTAACAATTTTGGAAGGCCCTTTTTTTGTTCCAGCATGACTGTCCCCTCTGCACAAAGACATGGTTGGACCAATTTTGTGTAGAGGAACTTGATTTGCCTCCCTGACCTCAATCCCACTGGGATGACTTAGAATGCTGACTGTGGCCTGGATCTTCTCAGCTCCAATATCAGTACATGATCTCACAAATGCTCTCTTGGCTGAAAGGGCAAAAATTCCCATAGGCATGCACCAATTTTTTTTTTAGAAAGCCTTCCCAGAAGAGTGGAGGCTCATATAGCCACAAGGTGAGGAGGAAGTCCATTATAATGCCCATGGTTTTGTTATCGGATGCTCAGCAAGCTTATATAGCTGTGAACACACATCTGGCTATATAGTGTATAACCTGCTAAGGCCCCCGAAAAGCAGACTGATAAAGAAGGGCTCCAATGATAGTGACTGCTGCGCCAAAACACAGTAAAGCTGATCCCAGTCCTGAGAAGATGGCTGGAGGAGAAGACAACAATGTCTGCTGGTGCTGCCATAAATGTGAATCCTTGGCTGCTCATTTGTGTTCGTGTCTATGGAGCATTGAGACACCTCCATCCGTTCATTCCAGGGCAGAGGAAGGGGGACACAGCACAGAGTAAAAAAGGTATTTGTGAGCGAGACTAAAGCAAGGTCAGACAGGGAGGCGCCTGATACCTGGAAACACACTGATCCATCTTTGCAGGCCAAATTCAGGGCCCATCAGAAGAAAAGGAAACCACAACCCAGTGTGTAAGCCCGTCTGTAGCAGGCAGTCATATGAACGGCTCAGTGTCCTCTGTATAGTGCTATACAATACTGTTCTGTGCGCGGGGACGAGACTCTGATCCGTACGCTGGGACGAGACTCTGATCCGTACACTGGGACGAGACTCTGATCTGTACACGGGGACGAGACTCTGATCTGTACGCGGGGACGAGACTCTGATCTGTACGCGGGGACGAGACTCTGATCTGTACGCGGGGACGAGACTCTGATCTGTACGCGGGGACGAGACTCTGATCTGTACGCGGGGACGAGACTCTGATCTGTACGCGGGGACGAGACTCTGATCTGTACGCGGGGACGAGACTCTGATCTGTACGCGGGGACGAGACTCTGATCTGTACGCGGGGACGAGACTCTGATCTGTACGCGGGGACGAGACTCTGATCTGTACGCGGGGACGAGACTCTGATCTGTACGCGGGGACGAGACTCTGATCTGTACGCGGGGACGAGACTCTGATCTGTACGCGGGGACGAGACTCTGATCTGTACGCGGGGACGAGACTCTGATCTGTACGCGGGGACGAGACTCTGATCTGTACGCGGGGACGAGACTCTGATCTGTACGCGGGGACGAGACTCTGATCTGTACGCGGGGACGAGACTCTGATCTGTACGCGGGGACGAGACTCTGATCTGTACGCGGGGACGAGACTCTGATCTGTACGCGGGGACGAGACTCTGATCTGTACGCGGGGACGAGACTCTGATCTGTACGCGGGGACGAGACTCTGATCTGTACGCGGGGACGAGACTCTGATCTGTACGCGGGGACGAGACTCTGATCTGTACGCGGGGACGAGACTCTGATCTGTACGCGGGGACGAGACTCTGATCTGTACGCGGGGACGAGACTCTGATCTGTACGCGGGGACGAGACTCTGATCTGTACGCGGGGACGAGACTCTGATCTGTACGCGGGGACGAGACTCTGATCTGTACGCGGGGACGAGACTCTGATCTGTACGCGGGGACGAGACTCTGATCTGTACGCGGGGACGAGACTCTGATCTGTACGCGGGGACGAGACTCTGATCTGTACGCGGGGACGAGACTCTGATCTGTACGCGGGGACGAGACTCTGATCTGTACGCGGGGACGAGACTCTGATCTGTACGCGGGGACGAGACTCTGATCTGTACGCGGGGACGAGACTCTGATCTGTACGCGGGGACGAGACTCTGATCTGTACGCGGGGACGAGACTCTGATCTGTACGCGGGGACGAGACTCTGATCTGTACGCGGGGACGAGACTCTGATCTGTACGCGGGGACGAGACTCTGATCTGTACGCGGGGACGAGACTCTGATCTGTACGCGGGGACGAGACTCTGATCTGTACGCGGGGACGAGACTCTGATCTGTACGCGGGGACGAGACTCTGATCTGTACGCGGGGACGAGACTCTGATCTGTACGCGGGGACGAGACTCTGATCTGTACGCGGGGACGAGACTCTGATCTGTACACGGGGACGAGACTCTGTTCTGTACACGGACTCTGATCTGTACACGGGGACGAGACTCTGTTCTGTACATGATTCTACTTAACTCAGGGAGCAGCTTTGTGTTCAATCCCATGTCACTGACAACCAGACAATAGAGATGTCATTGTGTTAGCAGGCAGGTGCATCTCTTACCTGATCTGTCCTCGTACCAGCGGCCGGCTCTTTGTTCTGTTCATGTTGGAGTCAAACGGCACCTCAAAATACTGCAAGACAAACACAAGGGACACATAAGTGACGCAGGATTGGACTTTATCTGCTAAATATAAGCTACTCGTACCCCTAAACGTGATCTGTATGCAAATGACACCAGAACAAACCCCCTTTCATCATTACACAATATCAGAGGAGAATTTACTATGAAACCTGGTAATGTGCTCAGCGCTCATGTCCATCGGCAGAGCCCGCAGTCTGTGTTCCAGAGAAGTATAATGGCCTCTGCTGCTTCTGATTTACCGGAGACAAGTCATCAGAGATATATTTATTTTACATTAAGTGTAGCAAGCTAAGTAACGTATAACACTTCCAGGTATTCATTATCTCAGTACTCCCCCTGACAATGCCTTCATCTGCTTTTCTCTCCAGAAGGACGGAACCATCTTTATTCAGACATCATCCAGAATCACCATCTACTTCCTGGACTGACATATCACATCAGACATGACACAGTCATGCAAATCCTGGAGTCTGTCCAGTTGTGGCTGTTTGTACAAATGTCTGACACGGAACAGCCCCTGCTGCAGCCTAAGTTACAATATTGCAGTCTGATTACTGAGGAAGGAGAGAGTGGGGAAATGCTTTCTCCTGCCTGCAGCAGACTGATCACTGGAGGAGGGGAGACTGAGGAAATGCTTCCTCCTGCCAGACTGATGACATACTCTCAACACAGGCAAAGCCACTGGACTGGAGCTTAAGAAAGTCTTTTCAAATTGTAAAAGGTGGAGTTTTACTGTTAATATTGTGAAATGTACACAATTTATTCCTGGAGACTTGTAACGTTACTGAAAGCTCCTCTTTAAAATGCCGGTGTTCTATTGAAAGGTCCAACTTGTCGAGTTCTCCAACTGGTGACGTCGAAATCTCTAACTATTGCCACTGCGCCTGCGTGGCGCCGTCGTATTCTATAACCACACTCGGCACTGCGTCTGCGTGGCTATCGGCTTCTATAACGTAGATCAAATATAACTTTGAACTAGGTTATAGAATCCGATGACCCGACAGTCACAGTCGCCACTGAAGCTGTGCGGCTATCGGCTGCTAGAACCTATGGCAAATATAACTTTGTACTAGGTTATAGAATCAGATGAGCCAATAGCTGCGCAGGCGCAGTGGCAATAGTTACAAATTTTGACATGAGCATGCACACTAGCTCCATCTGGTGTAGATCTCCTTTTGGCAGTCACCGGATGTGACGTCACCAGTCGGAGAACTCGACAAGTCAGAGCTTTCGACAGAACACCGGCATGCCTGCGATGGTGCAGAAATTTGTATTTTGTTTCTGTTGGCGGTCACACTTCCTCCTTCGTATGTCATAGCTGAGCAGGTCTGCACCAGCAAACAGAATCAGCAAACTCCCATAATGCAGTAGGAACTCTCCCAGCTCGGCTCCTGCGGATACCAGTTCAGGGCGTCTGGGCGGCTTTCCCATTGCAAGGAAAAGAGGAAAAATTATAACTGTGTACATTTTCTGAATTATAATCTTCCATTTTTTACCCAACCAGGGGATTTTCTCTCTCTTTGTTACTTGCTTTCCAAAACCCTTTGGACAGCGCAGAGTTAATCTGCCCCTTTGCTGTGCGCGGCATGACGTTGTGCGTTCAGTACAAATGCAACTGGAAATATTTGCCGAGTAAATGTCACAGGTGCGATGGCGGCACAATGACAGAAAATTGCAACATTTCATCCGTTCTGCCCAAAGAAAACAGAAATGAGGGTGGAAAAAGCCCCTTGTCAGCACGGCTGCGCTTAGCGGTCACCATGGCGCTCTGCCTCCTAATGAAGCGGTATAATTCTACACGCCGCGGGCGGCTGAACCTGTGACGGAGGTGGAGGGAGATGAAAAGGAAGAAATGATGCAGCAACACAAACACGGGGTGAGAGGGGAGTCCGGATGAAAAGGGTGCTGACAGGAGACGCTTCAACGTATGCCGAGAACATAAAGAGTAACGTCACACCTGACAAAACCCAACATAACCCCGGCCTGTCCGTTCCCTCAACAAAGTGCACCTGTCACCTCCACACATCATACCTGAAACCTCTGTGTGAGTGCAATATAAAAGTCAGCAGCATTCAGTATTCATGAGAGTGTAAACTGCCCATGTACTTGCAGGAGCATACTCACTCCTGAGCATGATACCACGTGGATTGGCGCACGCGGTCACGGAGTCGCCCATCACAGACGATCGCGCTGTGGGTGCTATTATTTTCTAATGGCACCCCAGTCGCGCTGCGATTCCGCCACGCGACGTGTATCCCGTGTATCGGCAAAAAATGATGTACAAATACCCTTTTTCGCAGTCTGCAGTTGCAGATCCCGGTCTGCACCAGGCCGGAATGTTGTCAGCTCACTATAGGAAGTTAGGAGCTCAATGCATTTCTAGCAGATCAACAGGAATTTGTCTTCACATTCAGCATTTTTAAGGAATAAAACGCGTGGGGTCAATGTGCATGTATTGCAGAGATGTGCTTATCGTGCTCCTGATTTATATTGGCCAGACATACACTTTAACTTTCTGCTGTCATCCAGCAAAGTTGCGCTCCCTGGCTGCTTACGAGGGTCAACAGTCTCCTCCTATCCACTTTAATATAGCTCTCCCCTCTTATTTCATTCTGCTGATAAGATATCAATGACCCCCAATAATCAAAGTGATTTAGAGTCCGTAGGTTCTGAAATGGCAAACCAAAGACCGAGAGACCTAACCCAGCAGACTCTAGGCAAGGACAGACCTCTCAATCTTGTCTTCGCTCCATGACAATGGCCATCAATCTGTCAATGACTCAAGTTCCTCGATGAAGCAACTCCGTACTGATCACATGTCAGCACACTCGAATGAAGTTGGTGTTTGTAGAAAGAACTGGTTATCTGACATTTTGTACGGGGTGTGAGGAGAATGACGCGTTAGTGGTTGGGGCAGCAAATTCCATTTCATTATACCTGTGTGCAGGGAGGTGAATGGGGATGTCTACAATGATACAGACACAAAGCAAGTATCCGGATGAAGGATGACCGTTCAAGTGTGTGAGATCTCCAAAGAAAAGAGACGTTTACTAGAGTGCAATGTGCACCTGCGGTATGAAAGCCAATTCTGTGAGAGAACCAAGAGAGACCATTAAACTTTCATGTCAGACTGTCGCAAGGAGACGATTGGGGCGGGAAATCACCCCAAGTCTACAATAGCTGTATAAGTGGTATGTACAGTACCTGACAGAGGATAAAACTCTTCTACTCTAAAGAAAATGTTCTCATGGCTGGAGATACATAAAGAAATCTGCAGGGTCTCTAAATGTTTTAATCCATTGGGTCCCTGGGATAGGAGACCACGTGGACTTTCCCAATTCTCCTACCTCCCTTCCATTTCAGCCTCGGAAAACATCTTCGGCATTGGACACTGTCAGGAACCGCGCTCTCCAGTGTCACACCCGCTGCGCTCTGTAGTTCCATCCTCCCTCTCTGCTGTGTCTTCTGGTCGGAGGAACTACAGCATGCAGCGGGGGGACCAAAGCCAGAAGTCTGTTGGATACTGAAGATCCTTCAGCCAGCGCAGCCAGAAAGGTAGATTATCTCTTCTAGGTCAAGGGGCTTTATTTGGATCCTTTTGCAGTAACAGTGCCACCTTAAAATGAAAAGAAGCGCGGATCCATTCTACGAACTGATCACCTGACCAGAGTGATATATTGTAATGTAAAAATAAAGGATATTCTTTATGAAATGGACATACTGGGCAGTTATATTATAGATGTTCATGAACAGAGCTGCACCATGCCGTCATTTAATTCTCTACCAGGATTCCGCCTATCGGCCAGTTACATCCCCAGGACAATGTTCATTGTGCATATAGGCAGCACTGAGGCTCGGAGGTTAGCACTGTAGCCTTACAGCACTGGGGTCTTGGAGCTGATTTAATTGTCCCCAATGTGTTATAGTCCTCCTGTTCTAGTATATGTTTCCTCCAGGTTCTCAGTCTACTGTGTGCATGGCTGTGGGTATTAGAGTGTAAGCTCTTCTGGGGTAGGGCTGATGATGCGCATGGTCCATATAGTGCTTATATATATATATGTTATACAGCTGCGTCTGTATAACAAATGCAGTTAAACAGCTGAATTGTTCATAGTATACATGACATATTTTGTGTAGAATCCTGAAACTTTATTAACATCCAGCAATCAAAATATCTGCGATTATACAAAAATCAGCCGCAATAACACCCCCCCGCCAAGTTCAAAGCGTTTGTGTTTCTTTCTATGGCAAAGTAAAGAAAGAACAAAGCGGATCCAACAGCCCCTATGAGTAACTCGCACAGCTAATAAGCAGTAGTAAGGTAAACAGGAGCAGCAGGGACGTTCTGCCCGGACACAATGACATCACTCGGTGGTAATGGCTCCGACGACTGTCTCCTCCTGCGTGCGTTCGCCGGGCCCCTCGTCTTAATTATCGGTAAAGTAAATGAAAGAACGTTCTGATGAATTAACAACGTGACATGAAAGAGAAGAACAGAAAAACACTAATTACACAACTGGGGCCTTCTACCACATCAAGGGGTTAAAGGCTTCTGACGTGTAATTAACAGTGTTTCATGTCAGAGATAGAGGCAACACAATGGCGCTGTGTGGCGTCTTTTGATTTGTATGTGACGCTTGCAGGTGCCTAACGTTTTATAGGGGACCTGCATGCCGCAGGTCCCACCAGAATCCTTACAGAGTAACTCCCGGCAACAGTGATCAATGAACTACAAATAACACCCACTTTATCCAAATGATAATCCATCAGCCAGATTCAGTAGCGTTTTTATTGCACCTTCGGGGGAGCCGCAGCCTCCTGTTTCATGATTTTTATCTGCAGCAGATACAGAACGAGATGTTTCAAGCACTTGGCCAATATTTTCTCATCTCATATCTTCCTCATAGGTAGTTCACCGCCAACCATTCACCAGAAGGCTCCAGACGCCACCATACTGAGTAATGAGCAATATTCACACAGTACACAAAC